CCGCCAGCTCCGGGCGGGCCCGCAGAGGCGGGGGCATGGCTCGGATGGCCTCTGGGGCCGGCTGTCCCCCAGGTCGGCGACGTCCCTGCTCTAGACTTCGGTTCCCTTGTCCGAAAAACTGGGGAGAGAGCAGGGATTAAAAGCTGTACTGCGCGTAAGTCTCGCGAGCGCCCGGCTCGGGTTGGCCTGCCTCAGTCTGGGGGGTCCTAACGTGCCTGGAAGGGTCTCAAGAGTCGCGGCGATGGACTCTCTGGCAGCGCCCCAGGACCGCCTGGTGGAGCAGCTGCTGTCACCACGGACCCAGGCCCAGAGGCGGCTCAAGGTGTGTGTGTGTGTGTGTGTGTGTGTGTGTGTGTGTGTGTGCGCGCGCGCGTAGAAAGGGTGGAAGGTGGGTCGGTATGTGCACCCGTGCCGGGCCAGAATCCGCGGGACAGGGGACGGGGCAGGGGCCGCAGGGCCAAAGATCTTTGAGGGGGGGCTCTGGTACCCTGTAGTGGGGAGCGGCTGAGCTCCACTGTCTATAAATAGCCCCTGCTCGCCGCCGCCGCCGCTGCAGCTGCCCCCCCCAGGACTGGACTGGGGCCAGGCGGGCCTCCCACCCTGTGTACTCTGGGGAGGGTTAGTGATGAGGCCTAGGTTTCTCTTGCCTATGGAGGCTTCTGAGTGTGTTTTAAGAGTCTCAGTCCTGGTGCCTTCCGCCCAGAAGGGAGGACATGGCCTGTGCCTGCTGTGGCCTACCACACACAGTTTTGGGTCCTTGAAAGCCCCTGGCTGAGGCTGGCACAGTGTTGCCTTCTCCTGCCACCCCCTCACCTGTTTTCCCACCTCTAAGCTTTTGTCTACAAGCCCTCATCCCGTTTTTGCCAGTGAAATGCCATACTCTTGGGGGTTACCGTCTGCTGCTCCCCCCTCCAGAGCCAGGTAGGGGATAGGGCACTGGGCTGTTGCAGTGGAACCCTAGTATGCCCCTGACCCGCCTCACTGCCGCCCCCAGGATATCGACAAGCAGTACGTGGGCTTCGCCACACTGCCCAACCAGGTACATAGAAAATCGGTGAAGAAGGGCTTTGACTTCACGCTCATGGTGGCTGGTGAGTGGGCCAGGCTGGTGAGTGGGTGGAATGGCCGGGGCCACTGACCAGCCAAGTTCAGTTGAGGGGGGCCCAGACCTAACCCAGCCCCCACACTGTACTCGTGGCTAGGTGAGTCGGGCCTGGGGAAGTCCACGCTGGTCCACAGCCTCTTCCTGACTGACCTGTACAAAGACAGAAAGCTGCTGAGTGCTGAAGGTAAGTGGCCTCTATGTGTCCTGGCACCAGTCCACCAGCTCCTTCCATAGGAGCTCCTAAAGGGGACCCTTCCAAGTTCAGCCCCCTTTCTTCTCATGGTGTGGGCCCCTATTCAGGGTCCAGAAGAAGTGGCCTAGATCACAGGCTGTATACCCAGGGGCAAGGTACTGGGATGGGTGAGGACAAGGATCCTGGCTTTGGGGCTTGGACAGGCCTTCAAAACAAATGCCTTCCTCTTGTTCCCTGTAGAACGCATCAACCAGACAGTAGAGATCCTGAAGCACACAGTAGACATTGAAGAGAAGGGAGTCAAGTTGAAGCTCACCATTGTGGATACACCAGGCTTTGGGGATGCTGTCAACAATTCTGAATGGTGAGGAAAGGCTAGCTGGGAAATGGGTCCCTGCCCCAGCCAGCTCCGGCCTCCCTGGCCAGCGGGCAGCCTCACAACCGGCCGCACGCTCTACCCCCCCGCCCCGCAGCTGGAAGCCTATCAGTGATTACGTGGACCAGCAGTTCGAACAGTATTTCCGGGACGAGAGCGGCCTCAACCGCAAGAACATCCAGGACAACCGGGTGCACTGCTGCCTGTACTTCATCTCCCCGTTTGGGCATGGGTATGTGGCTGTTCACCCCCTTGCTGAGTGGCCTTGTGGTTGTGCCTGTGCCTGTGCCACCACCTCCCCTGACCGTGCTCTCCCCATCCCTGCAGACTGCGGCCAGTGGATGTGGGTTTCATGAAGGCTCTGCACGAGAAGGTGAACATTGTGCCACTCATTGCCAAAGCTGACTGCCTGGTGCCCAGCGAGACCCGGAAGCTGAAGGAACGGGTGAGCCTGCTGTGGCACAGGGTACCAGGGGTGTCGAGCCAGCCCCAAATCTGACAGCCCTTGTTCTACCCCTGCAGATCCGGGAGGAGATCGACAAGTTCGGGATCCATGTGTACCAGTTCCCAGAATGTGACTCGGATGAGGATGAGGACTTTAAGCAGCAGGATCGGGAACTAAAGGTGACCTGAAGCCAGGTGGGGGAGGGTGGGAGTGGCCAGGGACAGAACCAGAGGCCACATGGGACCCATTCACACAGGGCTGAGCACCCAGGTCTGACCTCTTGCGGTCAGAAGTCCTTTGTCCTGACGGTGAGGGACCTGTACCCCATCAGCTAAGGCCGGAGGGTAAAGGTGACCCAAATCCCTGCCTGGCCTGTGTGCGTCACTGGGGCCTCACGTACCTGCTTAGTGCGTCGTGGAGCCGTTGCCTGAGCCACCCTGATGTGTTTTGCATGGGTTATCTGCTAGTCCAGCAGCCGCGGGACTGAGGCATGCCACGGCTTCCACGGTCCTGAGCTACAGAGGTGGTGACTTTGGGCGCCCCGCAGTTAGAGTGGTAACTAGGAGTCCCAAGCCAGGAACAGGCACCACGGGCATGCTCTCAGCTCTTGAGAGAAAGAGGGGAGCAAGTTAGGTGGTTCTTGATAGGGAGAAGGAATCTGAAGGGAGGTGACCTGCTAGGCACAGCCTGACAGGTCTAAGGGTATGAGCTGCACAGGATCCGGCTTCAGTGGGCAGCCGAGAGGCCAGAAGACAGATGATGCCAGGATCTCTGGGCAGCGGGTCTTGGTGATGGAGATTCTGGAAGGGAGGCCCCGTGCTGACCCCCACACCCTCTCCAGCCGCCCTGCCCACACTTACCCGACTGGGCCTTTGCTCCCCGCCCCCTCAGGAGAGTGCTCCCTTTGCTGTTATCGGCAGCAACACGGTGGTGGAAGCCAAAGGGCAGCGAGTCCGGGGGCGACTGTACCCCTGGGGGATCGTAGAGGGTGAGTTGAGGGCTGGGGCACCAGGAACCAGATGGGAAGGCTCCCCCTGGTGGCGCCCACCCACAGCGCATTCCTGCCCCACAGTGGAGAATCAGGCGCACTGCGACTTCGTGAAGCTTCGCAACATGCTGATTCGCACTCACATGCACGACCTCAAGGACGTGACCTGCGACGTGCACTATGAGAACTACCGTGCGCACTGCATCCAGCAGATGACCAGGTGGGTGGCCCGCAGGCCGCTCAGAAGCCCATTCTGCCCTGGGCCTCTTAGCGGGTTGGCATGCCCTCCTCGCCCAGACCTAACTTTATTCCAGTCTCCAAATCGGAGGTACAGTGCCTGGTCTCCCAGAGTCAGATGGGGCCTTTTACTTTATTCCAGTCTCCAAATCGGAGGTACAGTGCCTGGTCTCCCAGAGTCAGACCTGGGGCCTTTGGCCGGCAGAGTCTGTCATCAGGCATGCCCCAGCCGGCCACTCTGAGCCTCTCGTCGTCCCCCGTCTCTCCCCGACAGCAAACTGACCCAGGACAGCCGCATGGAGAGCCCCATCCCCATCCTACCACTGCCCACCCCAGACGCTGAGACTGAGAAGCTCATCAGGATGAAGGACGAGGAGGTCGGTGGGCCGCTGGTGGGGGTGGAGTCAGGGCTGGGTTGACGGGGCGTGGCCAGGGCTGGGTGTGGCCTCTAGGGGACGGGTGGGGCCAGGCCTCTCCAGCCGCCCTTCTCACGCCAACCACCCTTGTCCCCATCCCCAGCTACGGAGAATGCAAGAGATGTTGCAGAAGATGAAGCAGCAAATGCAGGACCAGTGACTGCTGCTTCAGCCCCAGTCGCCAGGGAGAGACCACCCACTGGCCTCTCCCACCCCTGGACCCCAAACTGGCCTGGACTCCACCCTGGATTCACTTGGATCTCAGAGGGGCCTGGACCCAACCCTAAACCCAGAGTGGCCCTGACGGGACTCTTCCCAACCCAGAGACGTGGAGCCACGACCCCTTACCACCCTAATTTATTCTCAGCATCAGCCTCTCCAGGTCATTCGTATCTGTTCCCTAGGGGCCTAGACAACAGCTCCTCCCCAGAATACCAGCCCCCTCTGGCCTTGGGGGAGTAGGAGCCAAGTCTGACACAACTTCCTAGATTTCCCTTCCCAAGAAGGTCAGAGCACCCCGGCTCCAAGCCCTGCACTGGCAAGGGGGTCAACTAAGGCAGAGGAGGGGAAGGGGCCGGGCCCATTTCCCCAGCCCTGTGCCACAGAGCAAATTTAGGAGCCCTCTTGTGCCTGTTGCTGTGAGTCACCCGGTGTGTGCCGACACCCTACTTGTGCAAGGTGGGCTAGGTCTTCTCTCACCCTAACTGGTCGCCCACACTGGAGGCTAGAGCAGGCAGCTGGGAAGGCACCCGACTAGCAGGCTGCCGTTGAGGAGGGTAAGGCCCGCAGCCAAAGCAGGCCAGCCCCGTCCCCACCACCTCCAGCAAACCTGGAGAGACCTAGGGGCAGTGTGGGCAGCAGGCCACCCCTGGCAACCCTCAGGCCCAGGCGGCTGTTCCCTGCCCATGCTTGGGGTGCCCTCTCCAACAGCTGGGGTCTCGGGCCCACAGCCTCCTCCATCTCTCCACCCGCATGATCCCGCCACCCTACACACACCTCCGTTTTGTTCAGTTGTGAATGCCACTTCCTGTCCTGGTGACAGGAGAACAATGTTGGTATATGTCGCTGCCGGTGTCCGAGTGCTTCGTGCGCCCCGGGGAGTGGGTGGGGGCGGAAGCCCAGGCGGCCGGCGGGCCCCTGCGATAGCACCCTATCTGGGGCTGCAGCGCGGGTGCGCCGGCCTGCGAGTTATTTCTGGCCCGGAGGCAGCACTGTGGTCTGGGCCGGCGGGCTTTCGGGGCCTGTGAGGAGCGGGCTGGCTGGCTCTGTGTCCGACGCCTCCCGCTCCAGAACAAGCCGAGCCACCGACCTCTCGCCATGGCCCCCCGTGAGTCTGGGGTCAGGCCTGCTGCTTCCTGGGCAGACGTGGGTTAGGAGGCGTTTTGGTCACCCTGGCATAGTAGAGAAAGGGTTGGACCGGGTTGGGAAATTTCGGCCAGCACACAGGGTTCGAGTGGAGAGGCTACGGGCCTCGGGAGCTGTCCTGGCCCGGAGGGACGCCGCCCGGGTGTCCCTGCAGCCCCCCGCTCACTTCAGCCCTTCTCTTCTAGGGCCGCGCGGGGCGCTGAGCCTACTGCTGCTCCTGCTGGCATCGCCGAGCCGCAAGACTGGAAACAACTTCAACATTCAACAACATAAGACTAGTTAACTAAAAAGATGCCACATCCATAAATGGATGTAGTTATTATATCAATATGGGGCTAAAATGGAACATTCCCCAAGATATATTACAGAAAATACAGTATTTGGGTGAAAAAAAAAGACTAATGAAGAATGCACCCACAACAATGGTAGCTACAAGTAGGGGTACTTGGTTACAAGGGTTCAGGGATGAGAAAGAAAATTATTTTACCATACTGTCCTTTGTGCCCTTTGAATTTTTTCTACCATTGACACGTTCTACAAATTTAAAACCAAATCCAGGGCAAAGTACTGAAATGAGGAAAAAGTATAAAGTGACATCAATCTCAAAGGGGTCATAGTAGGACTATGAAACAAATTGAGCAGGTATCAAGTGAGGGGTATTCAAAGGCTGCTTCCTCCTTTATCTGACTTCATTGTTCAGGTAATGATTTGGGTTAGAAACTAGCCAACTATAGAAGGAATTGTGGCTCAAAAGTTACGTACAACATGATTTTAAAATGTGAATTTGAAGACTGTGTCCGCGCACACCAGTTACCGCTGGCCGCCCCGCTAGTGGACAAGCCCGCTGAGGCAGGAGAGTCCTAAGGGGAGCAGGCTGGCGCTGATCACCCTAGGTCTGCAGATTCTCTGACACCCTACCTGGGGAGCCCTCGCCCGCTTTTGGACCCGCCTTGGCCTCGGCCCAGCCTCACAGACTCTGAGACCCAAAGGCCCAAATCCATAGTAAGGAGCGAGACGACCTACACCCTCTACGCTTGGGGGGTAGAGGCGCCCCGCTACAGCACAACACTTAGGAGCCTCCCTCCCCAACTCCATGCTGAATAAACCCTTCTAAGCTCACCTGTCTGCACCAGCGACCTGGGATCCCACTCGTCAAATCCCAGAAAAGGCCGGGCGGGGGGGCGTGCAAGGGACTTAATTGTACCTTCACATGGAGCCAAACTGTCCCGGAGCAAGCAAAAGTCAGTGGGTGAACTCCCTTGCCCCACAGTCACAGGTCCCTGTGGGTGGTGTGGACAGAGAGGATGTACACAGCAGTGTAGACAGACAGATAGGATGCTCAGAGGTAGTTAGGGGCCACAAGGACAGCCCAGGGTTTGAGGCGACCCCTATCAGTCACCCTGCTGTGTGGACAGCTTTCAGAGCAGTTGTAGTAGACTAAGGTTGGGATGGGTGTATGCTGAGAACACTCGGGAGTCTGTAACCCATCTGAGCGTGGAGGTCCGGAGGGTGGGAGCCATGGAAATCCCCTGGAGGTGAGTGGATGCCAAGGTCTCTGGCCCTTAGTGCTCGGCCTGCTCCGCAGCCCAGGCCCCTCCAGGTATACCAGATCTTCCTGTCCCCGCCCCAAATCCACAGCAGCAGCTCCAGCCCCCTCTGGCAGGACTTAAAAGCCCACACTGGGAACACGACCTTGCCCTCACACTGTCCCCACAGCTGCCGTCTCCCCAGGCTCCTGAGCTGCGACACACTGGCCCTGCCTCCCAGCCAGACCTATGCACATGCTGTTCTTTTTCCTGGCACACGGTGCCCTTCACACCACTGCCCCTTGCTGATCCCCTACTTTTGCAACAAGTCCCCCCTCCCTGCCGCTTCCCTCAGGAAAGCTTCCCCAACTCCCTCCGCTGCAAGGGAGCTTCTCAGGACCCTGTAGTCTTCTGCCCCAGTTCTGCCCCTGGCACTCAGCAATCAGGTCCTCAGACTCTTCCCTGAGTGCCTGGCACAGGTTGCCAACAAGGAGGACAGAGTGTCCCTCTGACACCTTCACTGCTGGAGCCAGCTTAGGGATGCTTAGGACAGGGTCCCTCTCATCCTTGGCGTGGTTCCACCCATCTGGCCCTGTGAACAATGAAGGCTGTTCTCTGAGAACTCCCAACAGGACAGGGTGAGGAGCCTCAGGGCTAGGCACAGGAAAGCCAGGGCCTGCCACTGACCAGATTGGGAGGCTGTCCCTGACATAGCTTTTGTCCTGGTCTTTGTTGGACAAGATGGATGGCCCTCTGATAGGGCTGATGCTATCTCGAGGCTGCTGGTCAGAAGCGAGGCAATCACCACCCCCTCCTTTGTGGGCAGGTGTGGGGCATCCGGCTCATTGTGGGCTGTAGCCAACTGTCCAGTTGTCCATCCGGCTTTATCGCCACATCAGAGACAGTGGCCCTCTTTGTACAAATGAATTGCCCACCGACCCTCCCCAGAGGTAGCTGGCACCTCCCCCTGAACCTCTGGTGGAGGTCAGAGGTAGCAGTCCAGGTACTCAAGCAACTCCTTAAACACCGAACATGATGCAGGGTGGTGGCGGGGAGGGTGGGGCTTGTTCCTTCTGCTTTCCTGTGAAGGAAACCAAGTTCCACAGAGGGAACCCTACTGAGCCCCAGAGCTCTCTCTGTGGCTGCGTGGAGAGCAAAGTTGAGTCAAGTCCCTGGGGTCCCCACATTCCTGCTGGCTGAAGCCCTTGGGGAAAATGCAGAAACTAGGAAGGGTGGGCCCAGGCTTCTAGGTGGCCCCAAACTGAGAAGGAGGTACCCCCTGGGCTGTGGGATGAGACCCCAGCAGGAGCTATGGAAAGGAACCCAGGCCCACTGCCCTCTGTTCACAAGGCTGGAGGGCTCCAGGGCCAGTGCCTGGTGGAGAGGGAGGGCATGGAGGCCCTGAAGGGCAGGAGCTTTGGAGCCACTGGGACTTTTCTGATGGGGGAACAAGACTAAAACCACAGTGTAGATATAAGGAAGAAGTCTTGTGTACTGACCAGTGGGGCAGCGAACTCCCCATTCCTCTAGGTGTACCGCATGGTGTGGACTGGCTGATGCCAGGGCACTGACCACAGGGCTGGGGACACAGCCTGCCTCGCTCACTGTCCTCCTCCAATGGACGAGGAGCTCCCAGTCGCAACTCCTGACCCTGCACTGACCTTCCCGCATACTGAGCCTGGGGTCACAACTTCCAAAGAGTTAGGGGAAGTGGATGGTCCCAGCTCAGTGCCCCCAAATGGCCTACCAGGGAGGACAGCTGTATATCCTCCTCCTAGCCCCTGCCCCAGCGTGTCTGCCACCTTACAGACAACACACCTGCCCCAAGACCTCCTGCTCACTGACCTGCTGTTGCCCTCTGTGGCCTCAGACTCCTCTCAGACCAGCACAAACTAGGGAGTCTCACACTTCCAGGCCTTAGGGAAGCTCTGCAGTGCAAGAGTCCAAAGGGACCACAGCACACCGCCCGGGCGGCCTCCCTGGACACCTTAGATGGAGGCCCAGACCTCAGCGCACCTGTCTCACCAGCCAGGCCCTGCACCCCTTCCCCAGTCAGCATCCCCGCCCCGCGCCCTCCTTCCTCTTCTGTCCCCCCCCGACACGGGGCCCTGTGCCTAGGTCTGCGTCTACCTCTGGTGTCGGCGCCCAGCTGGACAGCAAGCAACTGACCAGCAAGCGGAAACGCAGCCCCGGAGTAGACACAGCCAGGACATCCCAAGGAAAGCCTCTGTCTACCTCGTCAGTGTGAAGTGGCTGGGGGCTCTGGCCCTCTCCCCGCCTAGCTCAAGGTGCTGTCCTCCCCTCCCGCGGTGCGACCCTGGGGACGCACCAGAGGGCGCTCGCGGCTCGCGTAAAACTCCGGCAAAGGGCCGGGCGCAGGCCGGGATGGGCTCGAGGGGTGCAGGCAGCCAGCGGCCTCTGAGAAACAGACCGGGAGCTAGGGGACGTGCGTGCTGCAGAGGACGGCAGCCAGCGGGGCGGGCAGGGTGCCCCATCGGGAGGTTGCGAGCGGGCGACGCGCGGCCACTGACAGACGGGGAGTGGGCGAGCAGGGCCGCTCCTCTCCCTCCCTCGCGGGCGCAGTGACAGCCCATCAGCCCGAGATAAGGGACCTCTTCCGCCGGGCGCGGGGGCGGGGCTGCCCGGTGCTCCTCCGCCTCGCTGGTGTTCGCTCCGCAAACACTGACTGGATCCTTGCTGTGTGCACCGCGTCGAGGGCGAACGGCAACCGCAAGGGCAGCCCAGGACGTGGCTTCGGCACCTTAGGGACCAGGCTGACCTCGGGTGCCTCGTCGGGCCCGCGCCAGCCCGGGGACGCCTCTGAGCTGGGCTGACCTGCCTGGGGCCCCGTGGAGGAGGCCTGGGAAGGTGTGGGGGGCCCGAGTCTAGGTCACGTGGTGGGGGATCGCACCCGCTGCCCAGACAGAGCAACAACATTGGGGTGGGTGGCGGAGCCCTGGGGGCCCATAGCTCACCGCACCGTCTGCGCCCACCCCCGGCGTTTCCGATGGAGGACAGGCGGCTGGTGATAAATCACCAGGGCCAAGCAGCGGGGAAGAGGGGCTGCGAGGCGGTGTGTGACAGAGACAAGGCCTGAGACAGAGACAGGAGGCGGGAGGGAGATAGAGAGACAGAGGCCAGGGGACGCCCAGGCCCTTACTGGGGTGTCTGAC